GTGTCGTAGCTACCTTACGAAATCTATGAAAAAGAAATTTTTAGGGTTCAACAATCCACCAAGTGATAATAAAAAAATGTAAGGTCTTAATTGTATGTACTTTTTATAATTTAATACAGAAGTAACCAATTCTTTGATAATAAGTACTAGTTTTTAAACCTTACCTTAAAAAATGAGTTAAAATTAAATATTCTATGGCAAACTATTGATTACGTACTACTAATTAAAAGAAAAGCTTTCTTGTACTTATTTTTATTGATTCGATGAATAATAACCCCATTTTTTGTTATAACGGGTGTTTGCTGCTCCTAACCTTGAAAGACCTGTCTAACAAGTAGTTGCATTCGATTACAGTTTAAACTAACATGAATAAGAGGAGAAGACTTACACGAGCGTATTTTTATATTATAGTCTTGCGTGTTTTTGACTTCACATTCTGTGTGTTATCCCTATCTTTAATAACCTTTGGAAAAATTAGTTTTTTGTTTTCCATCATTTTCAGAAATCATCATTATTATAACTAGAGAGTTTTGAAGTGTATGATTATCATTGCAACAATTAGTTATCTGATCTTTGATCAGAAATACTGTGAGTTTTGAGTTTTCTTAACCTCAAAAAAATTTCCGAAAGGGACGTTGTGTTCTACACTTGGTTGAATTATTTATCCTTAAATATTTTCAATCATAGTATTTTGAGGTGAAATATACATTTAACGCTACCTATTCAATTTTCAAGGTTGGTTGATGATAGCCAAATGTTAAGTTTCGTTTGAAATGTTGTCTATTGTCCCCGACTTTCGACAACTTGTCAGTGAAACATAGGTTTCTGCTACAAAATAACGTCAATTTTTGAGAAATAATGTAAGTAATTTGTTTTTACATTTTCAGTCATCCAATATACATTCGATTAATTTTCTAACTGTACTCTTAGGTTTTTTGTTTACGAGGACAATAACTTTTGGTGAATGCTAAGGTACGCATAATAACAGACACAATAAATTATGTCATTTTGTTTAATTGTATGTTAACTTAAAGCCATTTGGGACATTTGAAAATTTTTTCACAACTATTCTTTTTACTGGTAATACTACAAAGAAATAATTTTTTGTTTTTCGAAGATTGGTAGAGTATTAGCAAATCCGTTTGCCAGTCTGCTTTGCACTGATGAAAAAAAACTTCAATTTTTTAATAATTTCTTTTACCCTACTAAACAATGATTTTTGATTAGTTATTGAGTCCATTGGCTTAGCTAAAAAACTTGCTGGAGCTGCTTTAGGCTTGAATGTGCCACCAATGGCATTACACGAGCTTTTTCCGTACGCCATGGCGTTAAAATGCCATTCTGCTGTGATCCCAAAGTTTGCTTCATGATTGATTAAATTATGTAATAAAATTGATTCTTGAAATGTTGTCTTGCTCCATCTGTTACAAAGATAATTTTTGAAACAGATGAAACTGTTTTTCTTATATGTGGTAAGAAAAGTTCTTGAACTATTTATACATCTGCAGTATCGTGCTGAGTACTGTCTAATAAAACTATTAGGCTCTTAAGTTCCACATTAGTATCTGTTTCGAAATAATAAACAATAAAGTAGACAGAGCATTGGTCGTTGTTGAAATGAGACGCTTGCGCAGCATCTTAAAGAACGTATTGGTAATTTTTAGAGAAATCTATATTAATTAAAACCTAATTAGAACACAAATTTTTGTCCAATCTTTGAGATATAGTTTCTGCCGTTGAACGATGAACACATACGGTCTCAATTATAAGCATTTTTGACACAGCTCATAAAGGAATTCTTCAGCCAGAGGAATTACTGTTTGCAAAGTACATCTGACTGTTGCAGTCCACGAGCTGAATCAAATTTCTCCAATATTCCATCGTTTAAAACATTACAATATTGTTTGTAGCATATCATTAATATGAGGATACTTTGCGCATTCTTCCGAATGACAGGAAACTCTACTTTCATGATAAACCATTTGTTTCAAGTAATCCTTATAGTTTGATACGGGTTTATCAAAGTTTTTTGTCAATTTCTCAATGTTTATGGCATCTTGCATTAATTTGCAACTTTGATGGATCGTACATATACAAACACAAAGCGTAGCACTAGCTCAGGCTAGTATGCAACTCTTGGGTCTCAGCTTTGAAAATGTACTGAATCCAACAGCGTTTTTATGTTCTCAGTTTAATACTTTAAATACAAATCTTTTAGGTCTGAAAATAAAAGTTGCTTATGTTCTAATGCACGATTATAACCTTTTTTAATAGATACTACATCCTGATCGCTAGGCATAACTTTACTGCTGTCATCGCTTTTGTAAAAATTAATAACCAGAGATATAGTTTCTTGTGGTACTTTTTACTTACTTTCATTGCGCAAGAACTAAAAACACCACTTGAAGCCTGAAAATCTTTTGCCTTGTTTGCAAGATATCTGCTACATTAAAATTTAGCAGCTATTTTGCGTTTACTTCAAGATACTAATAATGCAACAGTGAGAACTCGAAGTTTGTCTAGATGGCCATCAAGTAAGCTCAAGAATTTTTCCTCTATACTACTAAGCATTGCTTCAAGTTCCATTTTTCTTCGTGATCGAGCATTATGTGAAAAGTTATTCTGAGGTTGATAATTATTGTCAGAAACAAATAATGAACCGTCATGATTGGACTCTAAGAAACTATCAGTGCTATTATCTTATAAGCTTTGATAGTTGAAGTTCACTGTAGTTCTAAAATATTTCCTGCATTTGTGACAAATTCTTGACTTCTCATTTAAATTTGGGAATTTTTTCTTCGGTTCTTTCGACAACGTTCTCAAGGACTGTGCTTTATGCTTACTATCGAATTGAAAGGGATTACAACATCTGTCTAAATGACTAGCAGATTGGGTTGTCTTTTTAGTGAATAAATGTTTACAAGAACTATTATGTGCTACTATAAAGAAAAGAAAGGTAAACGATTAGTTCAATATCAATCATAAATAACTAAGGGACATGAGTACAGCGACTCAAAAAAAATCTTACATACTATCCATATACTGATGAATATAAGTCTTATAGGGAAATAGTGCTGATAAGTTATAATACTACAAGTGAACATAAAGCAACCAACATATATGGATTTCAGGATGCATGAGACGTCAGAGCAGCCAAGTGAGTAAGCTGTCCGTAAACCATTAAGTTTTCGATACGACATTTCTCTTTTATATTATGTATTCATAAGTTCCGCTTTCTTAAATAATTATAATTAAAACACATAAAACAAGTCATTAAACATTAATAAATAAAATAATAAAACAACTTACAATAAGCAGGTGCTAAAAACAAGAGCTAGTTTTTCTGATGTAGGCGCTTATAAAAATCACGTTGCAGTAATACTTACAGAAATAGGGTTTTGCAATCCTCTGCTATTTAAGTACTATGGTTATAGTATAATATGTGTAAAAAATATGAAAAATATAGACACAACGTAAGAAAAAATGTACATAACAAACCACAGTGGCGTAAATAAAGCCAGACTGTATGTCAAGTCGAATGTGTATGTATACACTTGTAAGCATGTAAAATGTACTTAGCCATCTAAACGACGGACAAGATGTGGTGTTACTAAATTGAATTTTATCCTCACTATAAACTTAGAGCAAGAATCTGACATCTGAGCATCGTCAACAACTGATGATGATAAACAAATATTTATATATGTTTATATGGCTCATCATAAAGAATGTGAGAACCAGTGGCTCAGCAGACGATACTACTAACACATTTGTTGGTATAAAGACATCTTCCTACCACTCTTGAAATAGTAAAGTAGTGGGGGACACTGTTTCATCATCTTCGTGTAGTTGACTCTCTGCATTAGTTCTCTTTTTACTGCCATAGAGTTCATTTACGCTTGATGGTAAAAGCTTTTTTTTGTTGTTTAAATATAATACAGTTTTGATTAATTAAATGTTGTCATATATGGTTAAAGATGTTGAAAATAGTGTTAACTAAATTAAATTTGTTGTATTAATGACAAATAAATCTTTTTTTAATTTTTCTCGTTTCACACACGCATACATTTTTAACAATCAAGTACCATACTAAATTACAATCTTACTGGATAACGTTAGGGCTGTGTAGAGTATGGGATCTTGTCAGCCAATATGAATATATGTATATTTTAATAATTGAAATCTTTACCTACTCCTAACATAGTTAACGATTTTATCTTCCGTTTGCCATCAAATTTTACCAGCCGTTGCTATGGATGTTCATTGTCTCTGTCTTTTTGTACGCTTACGTCTAACTATTTATCTAAGTATATACTTAAATACAATAACAGATTATACTTTGTTTATTAAAAGGTTTTTTTTTATTTAAAAGTTTCAGGGCCATTCAGATATAATTATCAAAAACTTAGGGGTTGTTTTATTATTTTTGTTACAATCCTCTACATTAAAGTGATGTAAATTAAAACTACTTTTACATGCAATCACAATAAAAATTATGAAGAAAATTGAACAATGTATAAAAAAAAAGTACTTTATTTCTCTTAGCTATTAAGCCAACTACTACTGATTTATGTCTCACTATACTAATAAAAAATATTACTTGTAGTGAGTTAGTGATTTATTAACAACTTCTTAAAGCTTTAGATTTGTGGAATATAAATATTTGTTAGTAGTTAGATGCCTCGATTTTAAGTTAAAGTTGATTAACATACATTTAATGTCATTATCATATTCATTTATAACCTCTATTACTAAGCATCAGATATTTAATTTATTTACTGCAAACGATTAAGAACATAGTTTAAAAAAATTTACACTCTTTAACACTTAATGACTGTGGATTAAATACAAAAAACTTTTTTTATCAGTATATTTGCTACTTACTATAAAACATTAATGATATTATTTATTACTGTACTATACTGCAATTTTATAATGAATAGAACGTTAAAGAAAGTGCGACCCAAGATTATTTTATATTGACTGTATAATTTTTTCAGGTGAAAAGTTGACTGAGTTAGAAACTGAAATAGTACTAGGAGAATGTATGGATCCCGAAGATGATGAAGGATTCATTCCTTATGGTCGTAAGTAGATGTTGGTTTCTCTTAACACCTGATTAGAACAATCTCTTCCTGAACACTAAGTAGTGCTTCAAATATATTTTTTATCCCAAAAACTTTTCTTCTACATTATAAAATATTAGTATTAAAAGCTTTTTTATTATTAACTCTTTTTATCATTATCTTAGAACAAATACGAGATCATCTACATTTCGACACCTCATACGGGTTAAGGATAACCTAGATATAATTTGTCTACTACACTTTTTGAAAATTTCTGTTATTTAAAAAGGAAACTTTACCACAATTCTTTCGTTTCTGAAACAAAAATTCACTTTTGTTACTGAAGAAAGATTGGTATCATAGCAAGAACTATGGGATCAACAACTTTTTCTAAGTAATTTATATAAATATAATATGAGTCTCTGTCTGTTTTCTGAGTTCCTAACTAATTTAATCAAATGGTGGCTTTATTTGCACCTGGTCGTGGCCCTACGCATATTTTTCGTATCCTTTTCCTGTATCGGGACTTCGCATCGCCCCCCACAGAGGATTTGCGACTTAACGAGCACAATCCTCTGTATGAACGCCCTCGATCGGAATCTCATCCAGATGTATACCCTCGACATCTTAAAAATCGAATCCCAAGGTACGCTGATATTCCTGTATTTCTTCTCGGACCAAGGATTGTATACTTTAATCGCTAGCTTCTGATAAAGATGGAGTGCAGTCGTTACCATCCGTTAGGTAAATAAAGATTTGATTAGAACAAAAGGATGTGCAGATAGTGGTGACACTTTGCTGGTGGTCAGCTCCCTGTCATTTAACATCATTTCGTTCTCGATCGATGAGGCCTTTTGTCATCTTCTGTAGAGCCCAGATAATCGATTGCCTTAAAAACATGTGTATAAAAAACATCATCCTTTGGTAATGTATGAAATATTAGTCGTTATTTAAAGAATAAGTTCTCTGGTCTTTTGATTGTACTGCTAAGGGTCAAAATTTTTTAGTCGGATCTCCAAACCCTCAAGCCTTGGTTCTTGGCTGTAACTTCGTTTTCAGAATCGTACTCGTTGGTTTGGGTTGAGGCCTCTCACTGACAGCAACTCCCGTTGGCCAGAGAAAAGTTCGCGTTACCCGTGATAAAGTTTTCACAATCGCCATTCCTTACATACACGTCGCCTCTCCCTGCACTGCTGGTCTTTGGCCTGGAGAACTTCCACCTGTTTGAGAGCACGTTGTAAACAACGTTGAAAATGTTCAAGAGTACGTTAACGAACTTGCACCAGACGACCCATTCCTGAAGAAAAGTAAGATACAAATTAGATACCCAGCCTAGGGTGTGTCGAGGTCATTCAACTCCTTCAAAGGCTCATTAAAATAAATAATAATAGCATCAACATCAACTTGAAATGGTGTATCAGTTGGTGAGACCTCGGGTGTATTAGCATCTTTGCATTGTTTCATGAGGTTTTGTAATTTTTGTTGAATGTTAGTCAATTGTAGCCGCATGCATTTTAACTTCCAATTTAATCGTCACCCCTCATCCTTCTCTAAAAATGGACGCAATTGGGTTCCATGATACAATCTTCTTTCTTTATTCGTCTTACAATCTGATATAGTATAAGTGCTGTTAATTATGATACGTGTTACTACGTATGGCCCTTCATATATTGCAAGAGATTTGGACGTGATTTCTGTCGACTTCATTGAAAAATTACACGTCTTAACTAAAACCTTATCCCCTATATTGTAAGTTTAAAGAAAATTAATGGCTTTATATCACTCTGCCCTTTTCATCCTCTTTTTACAAATATTACTTGCGACCAATTCTAATTTTTTTTGTTGCTCAAATTGTTTTTTAATTGTAGAGGTAAATATTGTTCCCCAAATCGAGTTAGTAATTTAAATAAATGAATTTCTAGGGGTGTTAATTCGAAGTGCTATGATGGGTCTCGTTAATGACATGCTGAATAAAAGAGATATGCGTCATAAAGGTTAAATGTTTGTTCCCAATGAGAGCTTAAAGAAAAATTCCTTAATGACACATTCCACTTTATTACTTTGTGGATGACGAATGGAAGAAAAGACAACAAATTCTCGAAAAACATCCACGGTTGCTAAGACGTATTTGTATCCATCCCATGAAGCAGGCAATGGTCTACAGAAATCCACCACGAGTAAATCATGTTGGCCAGTGTGAAGGATTGGTCTCGTTTCAAAATGATTAAATGTTGTATAAGGTTTAATTTTTTGGCATAATTCGCACAACTTAATTTCTCGCATGATCATTTTTTTCACATTAGTCAAAGCTTTATTTACCAAGTGATAGCATTTACGATCCCTGATGTGACCATATTTTACGTGGATTTCTTGGACTAATAAAATTAAAAAATCCCTTGTGACAATGATCTTCTTTTTGACTCTGACTTCTTTGTATAAAATATCTTCAATCAAATCATAGTGCTGTTTACGATGATCGTCATTAAAATCTATTATTTTGCCGAGTTTTTTATTCTAATTTTGTAACGTTTTGATAACTCTAATTTGGCGGATTATTTTTGGCACAATTGTACGATTGACCAGCAAAAAAATTGCATACCAATCTTGTTCATGCATGTCATGACCCTCAAATTGTCGACTAAGCGTATCAGCAGCTTCATTTTCCAAATCATTGATGTGTAATATTTCAATATCATAATTTTGAATTACAAGCATCCATCGCTCTAACCGTCCACTGAGAGTTTGACATGAAAATAGATAAGTAATCGCGTGATGGTCTGTTTTACCGATAACTTTGGTTCCAAGAATGAATGAACGAGATTTTTTGAGCGCGAAAATGATTGCGAGCTGTTCCAACTCCGATGTGAAATAGTTTCGTTCCGAGTTTTTCAGCACACGACTCACAACGTATAATTCTCTTACGCGTTCGAACTCATCATTGTGGCACAAAATTGCTCCTAAACCATTTTTCAAAGTATCCGTATAGATGATAAATGGGACGTTCATCCGAGGGTTTGCTAGTATCAATTCAATAGAAAATAATTTTTTTAACTGGAGAAAAGGCTCTTCCTGCTTGTGACATCAATGCCATCAAATTCCTCCCTTCAATAACTGAAATAAGGAAATTAATTTTTCTGTCAACTTGACGGAAAATTTCGCACAAAAATTGACCATGCCAATAAACCCTTGTAATTATTTCAGATTTTTCGGTGCAGGGAATTCCTGAATAGCCAGTAACTTATCTCGATCTATTTTTATACCATTATGAATAATTATGTGTCCAAGATACCTAATATCGTGATTGCAGAATTTTACTTTTTTAAATTTGACCGTAACTCTGGCTTCTTTTAAAAGACCAAATAATTGTTTTAAGTGTAAAATATGTTCATCGAAATTTTTTGAAACATATACCCAGTCATCTACGAAATCGTTAACGAAATGTGAAACTTGATCAAATACGGATCTTGCCACTCTCGCTAATGTAGCTCCTCTAACTTTGAGACCAAAAGGAATACGAAAATGTTGATAAATTTGATCACGATCCGAAAATGATGTGAAAGGTCGCGACTCTTGAGCTAATTTGACTTGCCAAAATGATGACGTGAGGTTGATACAAAGGGTTAATATATGGACAACGTGCTCATTCAATGATACCTAGCCTTAGCACTCGTTTCACCTCATCTTGTACTTTATTGTGGAAATGAATTAGTACGGGATGATTTTCTATAAAAAATGGTTAGTTATTTCGCAAAATTAATTTATAATTGTAACCCCGAAAACAACCAGAAATTTTATTATAAATCTTGCAGTGTGTTTTAATAAGCTTTCGCAAAAGCATGCATTGTGATTCATTGATGTTTTAAATTTTACCAAAGCGTTCATTAATTTCTTGATCAAAAATAGAACTATTTTGATAGCTAAAATTTTTAGTAAGAAATTTTTTATCAACGTCATATCAACATGACTGTGATGCATAGATGACATTGGCGTAAAACTGAAACTATCCTTTATACAATCGTTTTTTATGCAAATCGATTTTTCACTTAAGTCAATGATAAGGTTCAACTTTTCCTGAGTATCAACCTTAAAAGTACAATCCCGTGCCAACTTCAAGATAATGAAGAAGTCCATTTTTTCTCGAACTTTTCTCAAAGTTACATGAGCACGAATTTGACGCTTTATTTTCGCCAATTTTCACTAATAAGACCAGTAGCCTCAATACCTACAACTGAAAACAATTCATCATCACAAAGCTCCAATGTTCCTTTGTATTTTTCGTAGAATACTTCGGATAAACACATAACGTGGCTTCCCGTATCAACTAATACACGAGTCTCTATACCTTCGATACAAGCGATTATTTCCGGACAACACGTTGGTGAATTTGTCGTTTTTTGAATGGGTTGTATGTCCTTATCTTCATCAAGCAAATCTTCTATTGGCGATACGGAAAAAGAATTGATTCAGAATTCATTTCGATTTTTTTCAAAAAAATTTGGATCTTTATTTTATTGTTTCGTGTTCTCGTTGATCAATTCACTATCAAATAAGGCTCCACTTTTACGCATTAAGTGTGGTGGAGGGTCGATATATACAACGCCACTTAGCTTTCTGACGGTGTTGCTTCCATGTGAAAGGAAATCTCATGTCAATTCTCAACAGGAGGACGCCCAAGGTTTGCTTGGGGATTTATTTCGGTGTTTGGTCGATTTTGGACAGTATTTTGGGAGGCCGTTAAACTATTTGAATCGTCGAAACTGTTATTGTTATTATAACGATAACGATAATTATCTTTACGTGCTACGCTAGGAATTTGCAAATGATGATTTCCTTGAGTAGTGGTTGAATTATCACGAGGCTGTAGCAAATTAGGCTGGAGTGCTTCATTTTTAAGTAGCGACTTTAGCCCCTGCAGCATATCGAATGAAACAAGAAGTTCGACTAACTCATTAATCGTACGAGTGCTGCGTATGAACATTGCTTGTGTAATTTGATTATCAAAATGTTGGGCCACATCACAC